CGATAATGGTTGAAGAAGTGTTAGTTACACGGGTAGGCCACCTTACCACCGCAAACAAATTAAAATTACTGAGGACACTGCACACTTTATTAAAATCATTAATAGTCCTAGAGCCCAGAGTAGAATCCAAATTAAAGTCACCAGTTAAAATTATACTTATGCCAGGCTTATACAAATAGTCCATAACAGCAAACACTCTGTCAATAAATAAATTTATATCACCACTAGGTGATCTATAGCAGGACATGATAAGCACAGTGGATAGGTCTGTCTTCCACGAGGTGCAGCATATTTCAAAATGTCTGTCAATACAGAATTGGCTTAAATTGATAGAATGAGCATTCAAACTACTTCGTGAATATATGGCAACACCACCTTTTTCAAATGTATTTCTACAGTAATAACTACTTAAAGAAAAGTCACTGATATATTTAGCTTTGATTGACTCATTGTTACAATGAGTCTCTGAAAAACACAAAAATTTTATTTGATAAAAGTTTGAGATATCAATTTCTAAAGAATTAATCGATTGTGCATTCAAACTCTGAACATTTAATACAAGGACATCAGGGTTAAATATCATTTTATGGATTTCATTGGTGCTACTTTTTGAAAAAACTTACTTATACAAGCGCCGTCTGGCCATATGCTTGGTTGCATAGCTTTTTTAAAGTTTGTCTCATAAACAGACACTTTGAAGGAAGAGTACAAATTGGGGTGTTTGGGTTTTATAACTTCACAAATCACTTCTGGAAACGACACTTCAAGTAGTTGGCACAAATCACTGGGCGAAGTTTGGTTATTTATTCGGCTTACGTGAATATGAACCATTTTTTTGACTCCTTTAATGGAGGTGTCCGTGTTGTTTCCAATAACCGTCCGTCGGCGACGTCTAGATTTAAAAGGAACTTTTTCCCACTTTTCCTGCTTAGCTGGTTGTGTTGGGTTGTATTCGTGTTGGGACATAGGGCTATTGTCATCAGTAGCCAGATTAATTATATCCTGACACTTTAATTGAGTTTGTACCTTTAAGATCTCGGCTGAAACTTGACTCCTCTGTAAATTGGGATTTCCTTTTTTATTATTGACATCACTCAGTTCATTGACATTAACCTTGGGTGGGTTTTTGTTAGGTGTGTTTTTAGGTGTGTTTTTAATGGTTTTTACTTCCTCTTGTTTTTCCGATAGCCTGGCTTTATATACAGTTTTTGGTATATCTTTTTGTAGATTCCCATGAGGTGCTACTGATAATTTATTTAGGAGATCGATTTGCACATTTAGCAAATCAATTTTCTCTCTTAATTCAGAAATTAAAGCGTCTTTCTGTTTGATAATATAAGTAAAGATATGCACATCTACCTTATTATCTGAGTTTGAGACTTCCTCCATGGCGTCAAAAAAGGCTGCTTCCACGTCACTGTTATGAACACTTTTGTTTTCGCAACAAATTAGAGAAGAACGATCTTCGGAAACCTTAACATAGGAACAGTATTTTGCACAACTAAAATGGAATACATTGTCGCAGTTTCTGCATTTAATTCCATTTACTAATTTTGATTTACAGCGTTTACATGTGAGAGCGTTTTCACTGCCGTCCGCACCGAACGACATGATATCGAAGTGTGATCGTGAAGGTTATTGTTTCTATTGAAATTTACAAAACAACAAAGAATGGTGGTAAATGTTGAAGATCATCTTCTATTTCAAACTCCAAATACAACATGTCATCATTGTTCGAAAAAACAAAGTTGTTTAGTATTCTAACAATTGGAATCCTTTCTACAATTAATGTCACAGTAAAAAATTACTGTTAGACAAAAGTGATACATATCCTTGGAAAGGGGTCAGGACAATTTTTAGTCGCGTAAATAATGACTGACAACTCCTATTAATTATATGCTGAATTATAATATGTAACTTGCAACAATGAATTAACTTAAAGAAAAGCCAAAGAAATTTGTATGTTAAAGTGTGTATAAAATTTTTATTAAATTCTTAGCTGAGCGCTTTCGACTATGTAGTCATCATCGGAGCTATTCCTAAAATATCAACAAGAGGTTGAAATGACATTATATAAAGCAAAAATTTTGAACTTACGTTAAATTTTAGATACCAAAAAATATTTAGGAAACGTTGAAAATCTTAATAAGTTCGACATAACAATATACAACATTAAATATAACATCAATTACTGGTAAATAACAAGAGAAAGAAACAGAAATTGACTAACAATTGTCGAACACGTGGAGTGAAATAAAGTGAGGTTAAATGTTAAATGAAAATGAAATTGAAAATTGACATTCTACAATTACGGATTACCAACTAAGTGAAAACAAACAATTTTTAAAGTAAAACCACCAATATACTAATAACAAAATATCAGATATGAATTAATGAGATTCCCAAAGATACTTGAATAAAGGTTTAAAATTACAATTTAAATTGACTTGAGTATTAACACAGTTATTAGGGTTCCTTTTAATTTCTCTTAGAATTTCTGTCTTCCAATACATTAATTTTATGAAAATCAAAATTTTTATGAATATTATGAAGAATTTTGCTATTGTTTAAAGGTGAAAATTAATGGTTAGTAAAATTAATATGATGCCCAAAGGCTGACTTTTCATTTGATGTAAGTAATCTTTTCACTAACGTTCCGAGAGATGAGGCAGTAAAGGTTGTTTTGGATATTTTAGATTCTAAAAAAATATGTATTAATAAAATTGCTTTTGTTTCGGCCTTGTTAAAACTGTGTTTGTTATAAGATATTTTTTGCTAGCTGATTTATTTTTAGACAATTTAGAAAAGCAGATTCTTAGTAATAATGGTAATTTGAGCTTTAATAATATTTTTCATTGGTCTAGATATGTAGATGATATTCTTGCATTTGTGACAGGTCCTCCTATAGTCATTGATAATATTCTTACTGATCTTAATAAACTTCATTCCTCTCTTAGTTTTACATTTGAAATTGAATATAATAATGAATTAAATTTCTTTGATTTAAAAATTTTCAAACATAATTGCTCTTTAGAATTTTCCATATATAGAAAATCAACTCAAATTGATCATTTAATTTCAAGGCATTCCAATCATCCTTTTCAACATAAAATGGCAGCCATTCGCTGCTACGTTCATAGATTGTTAAATATACCAATGTCAAATTTAAATTTCAATAAGGAAGTGCAGATATTGCAACAATTATGTATTAATAATGATTTTTCTCCTGATATTGTGCAGAGAACTATTAATAGAATTTTGTTTCAGAAAAATAGAAATTTAGCTTTTCATTCACAAAATGTTAACATTGATAATAATTATAATTTTAGACCTTTATCTTATTTAGGTAGTATTTGGGATAATATTTCAAAAATTTTAACTAAAAGTATTCCTAATCTAAAAATTCCCTTTAAAGTAAATAAGTCAATTTGTTCAAAATTTTCAAAAGTTAAAGATTCACAGGATAAATTGTCAAATAGCGGTAGGTATATATTTGTTATCTTGTAATGATTGTCCCGTCACCTATGTTGGTAGAACCATTAGATCATTAAATATTCGTATTAATGAACATTTAAAAAGACCTGAAAAGTCAGCTTTTGGGCATCATATTAATTTTACTAACCATTCATTTTCACCTTTAAACAATAGCAAAATTCTTCATAATATTCATAATAATTTTGATTTTCATAAAATTAATTTATTGGAAGACTTAGAAATTCTAAGAGAAATTAAAAGGAACCCTAATAACTGTGTTAATACTCAGTCAATTTAAATTGTAATTTTAAACCTTTATTCAAGTATCTTTGAGAATCTCATTAATTCACATCTCGCGCCATTATTCTATGGCTAGAAATTGGCCTCAATAATTTGGGATCGAGGGGGATTATCCCTCTTTATCCTGCCTCATCTCGTGTAGGCCTGGACAGCCTTCGTAGGTGGGCCCCATCCGTCGTCTACCCCGACCGCAAATGCGGCCGGTGTAGGCGCTTTGTGGAACCTCCTTTTGTCCTGGCTGGGCCCCGTCGGCTAGGGCCCTTTCTTCTGGCGCTCTTCTTGCTTCGCCGGCTCCTAATTCACATCTGATATTTTGTTATTAGTATATTGGTGGTTTTACTTTGAAAATTTTTTGTTTTCACTTAGTTGGTAATCCGTAGAATGGTAGAATGTCAATTTTCAATTTCATTTAACATTTAACCTCACTTTATTTCACTCCACGTGTTCGACATTGTTAGTCAATTTCTGTTTCTTTCTCTTGTAATTGATGTTATATTTAATGTTGTATATTGTTATGTCGAACTTATTAAGATTTTTAACGTTTCCTAAATATTTTTTGGTATCTAAATTTTAACGTAAGTAAAAATTTTTTGCTTTATATAATGTTATTTCAACCTCTTGTTGATATTTTAGGAATAGCTCCGATGATGACTATGTAGTCGAAAGCGCTCAGCTAAGATTTTAATAAACATTTTATACACACTTTAACATACAAATTTCTTTGGCTTTTCTTTAAATCACCGAAGTGTGTACTCAAGATACAGTCGTTATTTTTTAATGAATTAACTACCAAAAAGGTTAACAAGTTAGTTGTCCTATTCTTAATGAAACTGTGCATAATCAATATGGCTGGACAAATTGATAAAACGATATTTTTTATTTCAGTCGCACTAGTTAGTCCGTCATTGCAAAATCTCACGTTATTCGAGCCAGGTTTAGCATTTATCTTCGTCCTATTTTAATGTCAATATTTGAATTGTCGACAAATATTTGTTTGAGGTAAATACCTACATATGTCCTTGTTCTTTTAAAAGATCACTAGTCATCGAAATAAGGGACTAATTTGTTATCGAAACAAAATATTGGTTTCGATGATTTTTTCCAAGCAGCGCGATATTTGGGGAACCAAATTTATTTTCAGTATGTCTTCAAGAATTATTTTATATTTTGAAGAAAATCCATGTTAAATATTGAAAAGTACTTTTCAATATTTAACATGTACTTACTCAGAGTGACATTGGAGGGTCCACTGCCTACAACGGGCAAAAGCAAAATCTGTCCTTCCATGGAATACTGTCCTTGCAGTCTGAGTTCGGGAGTGATGAATCTAGCGTACATTTCATTCTTGTCGAAATCGATGCTGTGAACGCAATTATCATTTTTTTTTATATATCCGTGTTTTAAATACTTAGTACTCTTACTTTACCGACACCACTTTAGATCCAGTCAAGCCGTGCAGTTCTACGTCTTTGAAATGTTGGACTACGTTGACGGGACCTTTTCCTTCGTCTATTGTCAGTTCGGGGATGTCCATAGGGTCCAACCTCTTCAGGCCCAATTCCGTTAATCCTAAATTATAAGTGGATAAAAAATGTAATTATATCTACCTGTATGTATAAAATACTCTGGATTGTTAATTCCATTTGCAAGAAGGCTGTCGGAAAAAAACAGTCCCAATAAAATGTGAAACGAGTTTCTATAGCATAGAATACAAGATACGAGTATTTCTTTGAAATATCTTGTATTTTTTAACAATTTCAATCTTGGGTACGTGTTTTTATGTTAATAGTATTACGAGGCGTATCCACAAAGTAAGAGTACTCAGTTTTTTTAAAATCGAAACGGTAGTACATTTATGAAAAATTTGCATATTCTGAAAGGTACAACAAACACTATTTTACGACCTCAATGCACATTGTGAGCCAAGCGATGACCTTTCTGATAGCTTTGTCAAAAAAATCACCGCCGCCTGCCTTTCAGGCACATTGTTTCACGACAGTGTGGACCTCATCGTCAGTAGAAAATCATAAACCACCCGTAAACACCTTCAGAGAAGAAAAAAGATGAAAATCGGAAGGTGCCAGGTCAGGGCTGTGAGCGGCATGGTTGATGATGTTCCAAGAGTTTGTGGCGTTGGCTGTGTGGGGGTGTGCATTCTCATGCAACCAGCACACTTCCTTCGTTAGCATTCCCCTTCTTTTGTTCTGTTTCGCCCTCCGTACTGTTTTCAAGGTTTCGTAATACCACGCAGTATTAATTTGCTCCCTCCTGGGGCAAAAAGTCAATGGGGAGAATCCATTTACGGTCCCAAAACACAGTTGCCATGATTTTTCGCACCAAACCAATGGCTTTGAATTTTTTTCGCCGATGGTGAAGACGGATGTCGCCTCTGCATTGATTGTCTTTTCATTTCAGGGGTGTAGTGAGCCACTCACGTTTCGTCGCCAGTCACAATACAGGATTCGGAATAGCGGCACTCATTTCAACAAGCCACTACAACAACAGTTTTCAACAGACTGAGACAAACGAGGGCGCGTTCTGCCCCCAATACTCTTGAATTTGAATGCAGTGTTGCCACCTTTGTTGAAAACAAAAACCACAAAGCATCAGATTACTTTGTGAATATGCCTCGTAAGACATATCATTTTGGATTTTTATTTTAAATAAGTATTAATTATAGATGTTTCAATGCATGAAGTAGTTGTTTCCTGCAATATCAACTTGCGTATCAAAAAAGACAGTTTAATTTCATTAGACAGAAATTGTTTTTTGATATTTTTCTTTTAATTTACTCGAAATAACTTAATACCTTTGTAATAAAGGGAAGAACACATGAAATTTATTAAAAAAATAATATTACCAATCAGTTTTGCGTATAAAAAATCATATAGGCCAGTTTTTGCTTTAATTCCTGTAACGGTAGGGTGTCAAGAAAACGTTTGTTACGAAAATATTGAAGTTACTGTTTATTTTTTTGGTTACGACTAAAACAATTTCGTTCAAATTTGGTGCTTAGCTTTAGTTTTTGATTTTCCACATATTCCCATCCCATTTTTTTTTCCAAGATATATCAACTTGGACTTACTCTTCCGATAAAAAGTAAAAACTTTACAAAAATGTGTACCTGGTTCATTATTAAAGTTGCCACGTCATTCGTAAATGGAATAAAATATTGATAACACATTGTTTTCAACTGTTTCTGAACTATATATTTTCATTAATTTTAAAGGGCCTGTATCCCGAAAACGAAGTTTTTCAGGACATATATTTATATAAATTATTTTATTAATTTGTGGCGGAAAATTCGCCGTTAAATCCTGTCCAAGCATTTTTAATAACACTCTGTATAAGTGAATCTTTCTTTGCGATTAAAACCACAAACACTAATGAAAATTAATGCACATTTCAGGCTTCAGAGAGTTGATTGCACTGCATTTTGCAATACAACTGAGAGCTGTTCTTTAGAACTAACTGGTTAGTTTTAACAGAAACAATTTTAAGTAAATTCTACTCACCATCTTTCAGTTTTTGTATGGCGTCCTCGATGTTGGCCCTTAAACATTCTGGCATCTCGGGGTCACTTTTGCTGCATCTCCCGAAGTTACTTGCTAAAAAAAATCTGCATTAATTTGGTACTTCTTCAAGTATATACAGGGTGGTTTGATATGACAAAATGATAGGGTTTGGCAAAAATGTCTGTATTTCTAGTTTTTATGTACTAGAATTTTACACACAAAAAGCTGAAAAATAAAACCACTCCTCCGATTATTTCAAATTTGTTCAAATAAAATTGTGACTTAAAATATAGAGATCATTTTTTCAGTAAGCTTTTAGAGTTCATAGTCCTAAAATCTGTGAGAAAATAGTAAAATTTGTCAGGAAATTGTTTAGGTATTGACTAAATAGGGCAGGCAAAATTTTGTCGATATTTTAGTTTTGTAATATGAAAATCCAAAACTTAAGAAAAAAAGGTATATTGAAAATCACAATTTTCGTGGTCCTTGTTTTAGAAAATCAAGCGTTAGAGACCTTTTAGATCCATATTTTTTGAGACATGACTGAAATTCTCCAAAACCGTCCACCCTGTATATGGTACGTGCATACGGAAGCTATTATTACTTTACAAAACAATTTTCTAGATCGACTAATATAATAATAATAATAATAATAATAATAATAATAAAAATAATAATAATAATAATAATAAGAATA